GCAGTCTTGCTCTGTTCCCCAGGCTGGAGTGCAGTGGCATGATCTTGGCTCACAGCAACTTCCACCTCCCTCCTGGGTTCAAGCAATTCTCCTGCCTTGGCCTCCTGAGGAGCTGGGATTACAGGCGCCTGCCACCACCCCTAGCTAATTATTGCATTTTTTGTAGAGATGGGGTTTCACCATGTTGGCCAGGCTGGTCTCGAACTCCTGATCTTGGGTGATCCACCCGCCTTGGCCTCCCAAAGTGCTGGGATTACAGGTGTGAGCCACTGCACCCAGCCAATTTTTGTGTTTTTTGTAAAGACAGGATCTTGCCATGTTGCCTAGGCTGGGTCTTGAACTGAGCTTAAAGCCATCCACCTGCCTCGGGCTCCTAAAATGCTGGAACTGCAGGCTTGAGCCATCGTGCTGGGCCTGGAAGGCGACTTTAGTCCTCACTTGATTAACTGCCTTGTTTCAGAAGTGAGGCAGTATGGCCCCAGAGAGGTGAAGTGATTTGCCCAAGGCTGCACAACAAGTTATTAACAAAACTGGGCTCCAACCTGGCTCAGGGATAACCAGGTTACATGCCAAGATCGTACATCATCGTTGTATTGGTGAAGTTTTTTTTCTTTGATTGATTCAGCAGATACCTGTTCAGCTCATGCGGGATGCCAAGCGCTGTTTTCGTTGAGGTGCCGGGGAATCTGCAATGGCTAAAACAGTCTCTGCCCACATAAGCCTAGGTTTTCGTGAGGAAGACAAATGATAAGCATGTAGTAAGAGGCTAGGCAGTGATGGAAGAACTGTGAAAACTGGACCAGGGAGAAGTGATGGAGTTGACTTGGAGCTATTTTTGGCAGGGGTAGTGAGGGAGTCTCTATTTGTGGGAGTGACATTTGAGCAGAGGCCTGAATGGGTGGGGTCAGGGAGCCTGAAGAACTGCTCAGGGGGTCAGGTCAATGGCAAGGAGTGATCAGTGCCCGAGCTGTTGGGGACCGACAGTCATTATCAGGGTCTCTCCAGGGTAAGGATGAGGCCGAGATCAAATGAGGCACCAGGCTTTATTGACTAGGAGGCATCTGGTGGCCCAGCATCTCCAGTGGATGTGCTAGTTCGGAAACTCTCCCTTCTCTCCATTAACAGCTCCCACCACCTGCCTTCTCTTATCTCCCAGGGCTGTTCAGCCTGTTTCTGGCAGTGGCTAATAGTCACTGTGTGTACCGTAGTGTTTCGCCTACTCAGCCTTGTCTAGGAGAAGCAGCCATGCTGCAGACTGCTCTCTTTGCCACGTGGCTTTTGGACCCATAATTTAAACCTTTCTCCTGGTGAAGTGCCTTTGCTCTATTTAGTGGAACTCTGAATCTTGAGGGGTCTTCCGCTGGCCACACGGTGCCCTTCATAGCTCACACCAGCTTTATTCCTGGAAACCCTGTTCTTTGTGGTTTCCTGGTTTCTGGTTCTGAAAAGCAAATGGCTGAAGAGGTTCCAGTATCTTCTCAGAGAGCCAACCCAGTGTACCAGTATTTTGCGGTATTTTGGGACTTTTCTCCTTGCTCATTATGCTGTTCTTTTTCTTTCATTCGTTCATTCATTCATTCATTCATTTATTTTGAGACGGAGTCTTATTCTGTCACCCAGGCTGGAGTGCAGTGGGACAATCTTGGCTCACTGAAACCTCTGCCTCCCAGGTTCAAGCAACTGAACCTGCCTCAGCCTCATGAGCAGCTGAGATTTGTAGACGCCCACCACCTTGCCCAGGTAATTTTTGTATTTTTAGTAGAAACAGGTTTCTCCATGTTGGTCAGGCTGACCTCAAACTCCTAACCTCAGGTGATCCACTTGCCTCAGCCTCCCAAAGTGCTGGGATTACAGGTGTGAGCCACCACTCCCGGCCTTTTGTTGGAGGAGGGGAGGGGAAGAAATCTCACTCTGTTGCCCAGGCTGGATTGCAATGGCGTGATTTCAGCTCAGTGCAACCTCTGCCTCCCAGGTTCAAACGACTCTCCTGCCACAACCTCCTGAGTAGCTGGGATTATAGGCACGCACCACCACACCTGGCTAATTTTGTATTTTTAGAGATGGGGTTTCATCATGTTGGTCAGACTGGTCTTGAACTCCTGACCTCAGGTGATCTGCCTGCCTCTGCCTCCGCCTCCCAAAGTGCTGGGATTACAGGCATGAATGAGCCACCATGCCTGGCCTTAGTTTTATTTTTTTGAGACAGTCTTGCTATGTCGCCCACCCTGGAGTGCAGTTGGTGTGACCTCAGCTCACCGCAACCTCCACCTTCAAGGTTCAAGCAATTCTTGTTCCTCAGCCTCCCGAGTACCTGGGATTACAGGTATGAGCCACCATGCCTGGCTAATTTTTGTGTTTTTGGTAGGCTTGGCCAGGCTGGTCTCAAAGTGACCTGAAGTGATCCACCCACCTTGGCCTCCCAAAGTGCCAGCATTACAGGGGTGGGCCATCGTGCCGGCCATCTCTCTGTTCTTCTTTACTGAACTAATTTTCTGTAACCTAAGTGCTTAGGTAACGCCTATTATTGGCCTCTGAACTCAGTGCTACATCCAGCTTTCCATCTTTTGCCTTCTCTCTGAGAGACCCCAGCCTCCTTGGTTATTGCATTTTTTTTTCCTTTTCTTCTTTTTTTTTTTTTTTT